CTCCAGACGGTCATTCCTTTGGAGCGGTTTTCAGCCACAGAGGAACCTGTGGACCTTGATTCAGGAGGCGCAGCGACAGGATCCATTTGTGGCAGCTCGGTGTCATGAATTGGATGAGAATGGGAGACAAGAGACTCCTTGGGAATATATTGGGGACCTGTTGTGGTTCCGTGATCGTATTTACATGCCTGGAGGTCCTCTTCGTGGCCTTATCTTACATCAATGTCATGATAGTCCAGCGGCAGGACACTTTGGGGTGTTCAAAACACTGCACCTCATTTCAAGGACATTTTGGTGGCCGAGACTTAAGCATGATGTGTCGTGATATGTGGCATTCTGTGTGATCTGTTGACAAGCCAAGTATGCTCCTGGTGCACCCCCTGGTCTCTTGCAGCCATTGCCCACACCTAAAAAACCTTGGGGGGCAGTTTCATTGGACTTCATCACTGAATTGCCACCATCGAAGGGTGCTACAACCATTTTGGTGGTGGTAGATATGTTGACTAAAATGGCCCACTTTATTCCACGTACGGGTCTTCCTACGGCCAGAATAACGGCCCAGTTGTTTATCTCCCATGTATTCTGGTTGTATGGGTTACCAGACCGAATAGGATCAGATCGGGGGGTACAATTTACAGCACGCTTCTGGCACACCCTACTCACGAAACTGCAGGTTCAGGCATGTCTGTTGTCTGCCATCACCCCAAAACTGATGGGGGGACAGAGAGAGTGAATGCTATTTTGGAGCAGTATCTCTGCTGTTTCAGCAATACTCAACAAGACAATTGGGTGGAAGTTCTGCCGGTGGCAGAATTTGCTTACAACAATGCTCAACATGCATCCACCCATGTGTCCCCATTCTTTGCCAACTATGGTTTTCATCCACGACTTTTTCCTTTAGCCCTGACTCCCCAGTTCTGGTAGTGGATACGTTCTTGCAAGAGTTAACAGCCGTGCACCACATGGTCTAAGACCAACTAGAGAGAGCCAAGGAGGACTACAAATGCTTTGCAGACCCACATCATCGTGATATTCTGCCTTTAGCGGTAGGCGATTGGGTGTGGCTCTCTACTCTACTTACCGACGACACGGCCATAGAAAAAGCTCGATCACCGTTACTTGGGATCTTTTCTGGTCGAGGCAGTGATCAATACTGTAGCTTTTAGTCTCTCCTGGTCATGGACCACGCGTATCCATCCTGTTTTTCATCACTCCTTGTTAATCCCTGTATTGGCCGACAGCCCGTATATATCAGCTCCTCCACCAATGGACCCGTTAGCCCCTCAGGGAGAGGTGGAGTACGAAGTGGATAGCATCTGAGATTCACAACAGTTGCGGGGCCGATTTCAGTATTTGGTGGCATGGAAAGGTTATGGACCAGAGGACTTCACCTGGGTTGATGCCACTGATGTTCATGCTCCTCGTTTGGTCCATGATTTCCATGCTTGATTTCATCAACGTCCTTGTCTGCCTGGTCCCGGGGGAGGGGGCCCTGCAGGGGGGTATAGTGTCATGCCCCTGGTGGAGACTGAGGAAGAGGAACAGCCAACAGGGAGTGGAAGCGTGGCTCCAGAGGTGGTGGAGGAGGCTGGGGAAGGGCAGAGGCCGGCTGAGCAGTCAGAGGAGGACCCAGGCGTGTCCCTTATCCATCCTAGGGCAGCAGGAAGGAGAGGATTAGGGTAAAATGTGGTCTACTCAGGAGGAGAGGTCCATGATCCTCTTCATGGGTTGCAGGTGTGAGATTTGCATAAGAGTTTGGACCTGTGTGCTAACAGACGCTGGAGACAAATTAGTGTTTTATTCCTAAAGAAGGTTTATCTTGTTTGGCGTTCTTCCAATGGACTGTACCTGGTTATCTTCCTGGTCTGTCTATCCTGGTCTGTCGTGGAACTTTATTTAGTGCGGTTTGTTTTTGGTTTTTGCTTCGTTATCAGCTCTTTGAATTTGAACTGTTTTTTTTCCTTTGAAATGTTATTTTGAAAATAGTTTACCCCTCCACTGTGAACAATTAAACAGTGAAGCCAAGTTAAAGGACTTTTATTTACGTTTTGATTTTTGTTATATTTCTGATATACTCTGGTTCATCATATAAAGCCTTAGTAAGACCACACCTAGAGTACTGCATCCACGACCCACAGGTTGAGAACCACTGGTGTAGGGTCTCCTGCTTGTATGGGGGATTGGACTACATGACCTGCATGATTCCTTCCAACTCTGTTAATCTGTTAATCTCAAATAACCATATTGATTTCATCTATTCAATGCTTTTTTCATGGAAACTATATTTCTATTCCCTGTAATTTTTACTATCTTTAGTACTCAAATATGTTTACAGTATGTAAATATTTAATAGAATGTTACTCATATGAACTTCAATATATAGTGACCAAATTTCTTCATGTCTCATGTTACCTTTATTTTTTTATTAGGAGAAGAAATATCGTTTTCAAAATCAGGTAGACAAGATGAAAGAAAAAGTGAAGAATGTGGAAGAAAGATCGAAAGAATTTGTGAATAGAGTTGAAGAAAAAAGCCATGATCTCATTCAGAAATGGGAAGAAAAGTCTAGGGAGTTTATTGGCAACTTCTTAGAACTATTTGGACCAGATGGAGCTTGGGTATTTATTTTTTCACACATACATATAGTTTATAAGTTATTGATGAGTCATTTTCTACACCCCCAAATATCTTGAAAATAATAGAGAAATAAAGCATGCTTTATCTACTCAAAGCAATTAATATAACAACAATACAACAGCAAAATTATATCCTGAGCTAGATTATATTTAAAAATCATTCAACATTCAAAATCAGGTTCGAACAACTCTCTTAAAATGCCAGGGATTAAATCTGAGGCCATTCGGATGCAACATATATTATTAAGTAGTAATGTAAGATTTCTTACTTCAGTTTGTAATGATACATGCTAAAAAAGCACTCTACTATATTATATATATATATATTATATATAGTAATCAGTAATACTGATTTTTAGGAGATAAAGTTGCATATAATGGATTTGATTTCACAATAACTGTATTGGCAAACCAGCTTCAGTGAAAAGATCTTTTGGTTTTTTTGTACAATTCAGCATGGCAGTACTTACTGAAGTTTAATATTTGCATGAAAGCCTTTGTAGTTAGAGGCCACATAAAATAATCAGCTTAAGAGTACAACTTGAGTTAGCATTGTTCTAGAAAAATAAATGATATTGCTATGGGGCAAATTAAGTCTATGAATATTGTTAATTTTTCTTTTCAAACATTGATTTCAATGCTGACATTAAATATAGAAGATTAATTCATGTCTTGATTCATACATGTGCATATGTTACTATGCTATTATCAGTAATATATTTGAACTCTCATTCACCTTCAAGCAGATAGAATTAGGAATATATAACATTGAAAATGGAGAAATCAATCCATTAGAGTTTAATCTTATTTCTTTTTTTAAAGAGTAGGAAGTTCAATTGTTTTGAACAATAGTAATTGGTGCTGGCATGAAAAGCTTTATAAAATATGTTTCTTGTGTATAAAATAGGCAACGCTCTATGTTGCAATATTTTGGTTGCATTTATACTTTTTAATTTTTTTAAAAAAGTGTGTGAACTTGCATGGGAAGGATGCATAAAACAAACCTTAATTGTGCTTTATTCACACTTCTGGTTCATAAGTGTTTAATTAGTTTTTTTGGCTTTTTCATTATTTTTTATTTTAAAAAACCCACTGTTTTCCTACCTAAAAATCCTCCTCGTTTCCCCAAGAATTTAGTATGCTAAAAATAATATAACATTTAACCCTTGATAAGCCTCATCACGTGATGAAGGAAAATTTTGCTTGATGTTTTATTTTTCCCCTTCTCAGAAACACTGTAAAGCACTCAAATAATGTAAGAAGAGTGCTCTAAGCTCACTTGTGATCCTTTCCTTCTCTCTGCTACTTCATTGCCCCTTGAAATCCCTCCTACCTTGCATATACTTTGGCTACATCAGTTTTTTGGGGGAAAGACATCTCATTTACCCATAAAAACAAACATAAAGATAAAAAGATTATTGGGCAAAAACAGAATTAAGAGAGTGAGCTGAGGATATATCTATTATTGTATCCATACATGTCCACATTTCTTTGTTTCCAGAAGCAGATGTTTCAAGAAAGGAGTGGGCGCATGCTTCAAGCCTTATCTCCAAGGCAAAGTCCCACAAGCAGTCCAACACGGGGACGTTCCCCATCACGTTCCCCATCTCCTCCTTCCCCTTGGCTCTTCAGAAAGGCTTCACCGCCTTCCTCTCCAAAGGTTGCCTCAGCATCCATTAGCAGCATGAGTGAAGGAGATGAGGATGAAAAGTAAACAAGGGAAAATTTGTAGTAAAAGAAAGAAGAAATATACCAATGGCTCTCCATACAGTTCAAAGTAGAAGAAAGAAAAGGATGCATAAGATGTTTCTGAAAAACAAAGTTATTGAGATTATTGGAGCACTGAAGATCTCAACTATAAAGTAGTACTTGCCAAAGGACAACCTGTCAAAAAAAGTCACGTATGATGACAGAATATATAACAACGTCATTATTTCCCAACAGTTATGAATACTTTTAAATGCAACTGCAGCTATTGCTGCTTTAAGCTGTTGGACTGTTGTGAGGATTATTTGTTGAAAGGTTAATTTGGCAAACGTTAAGAAGGATTATTTTTGATTAAACAAGGCACATTTAAATTTGAATAACACTGCACTCTACTAAAACGTTGTATCTCACAAGAATAAAATGAAGTACTGCCTAGAAACAACAGAAGCTCCTACAGTGCCAGGAAACACTCAAATAAAATCATGCCATTAGAATTAAGCTCTGTCTTTCACAGTGGACACAATATAGGTCTACTGAATTTGATTAATATTGCTTAATGAGCAGGCTTTTGTAGACACCAAGAAAGTTATTCAATGTGAAAAAAGGGACAATATGTCCAGTGGTGGGATTCAATTTTTTTTACTACCAGTTCTGTGGGCATGGCTTGATGGACGTTACAGGGGAAGGATTCTGTAAAATCTCCAGTCAAAGGTGGTATTTGCCAGTTCTCCAAAATACTAAAAATTTCTGCTACCGTTTCTCCAGAACTGATCAGAACCTGCTGAATACCATCGCTGGATCTGTCCTCCAAAGCTTTTTTTTTTATTTTACAATTATTATTCAATATGATTTTATATCTGGTGAATTTGGTAAATTAACTCACAGTGCATGGTTCAATTCATTAATTAATGTTTATATCATACACTATATCATTTAAAACATTTTTTCCATATAACATATTATTACAAGAAGAAGAACCCAAGTGGATAATGCATACCATTTATTATTTCAGATGATAAACCTGGAAGAAATCAAGGGTGGCATGAGTGCTGTCCCATTTTGGTAAAATGTTTGGTAATGTGCATGTAATTCCATTAAGAATCAATGTATAATTTTTCTATAGAAGCAAAGCATTATATTACAACTGACTTTTTATTGCCAAAATATCATATTAGATTTTAGTAGTCAACTTTTCAGCAACTACAAGCAGAGCTTTGTTTTTTGCATACGGACTTAATAAAACATTTTTTGTTATTACATGCTGCTATATACTCTAGAACAGAGTTCCCCAATGTTTCCAACTTTGCGAACCTGTGGAGGGAGGTGGGGAAGGAAGAGATGGCTCTGCGCAAGCAGCTGACAAGTGCACACAGCTCCATTTGCACAAGGTACATATGTACCTGCTGCTCACTTAAATGGAGTGTGCATGCCCACACTGCTCATATGCAAATGAGGATGCGTGTGTGCGCTTGCCATCCATTTCTGTGGGCCCAGTTGTAAACCTTTCACGGCCCACTAGTAGGCCATAGTCCAAAGGTTGGGAATTCCTGCTCTAGAACAGCCTTTCCCTACTGTCTTTCAGGTGTGCTGGACAATTTCCCATAACCCTTAACATACCTGAGGGTGCATTGGGGAAAACTTGTCTAGAAACACACATATGCAGCATATAACTAAACATTGTAAGTAATCAGATCCTTTTTACCTGTGTCACTGGCATCACATCTACTGTTAATATTCAAAAGCAGACATGAGAAATTTACCTTGCAAAATAACACATAGAAAGTGATTGGAATTTCAGAATACTTCTTATGCAGCCCATTGTCTTTTTTGCAAGGGAGTGGATCTCTTTGATAGTCCTATTGTGTTTGACAATGTTCTTTGAACACTAGTTCTTACTGATCAACTAACAGTTGAAACATCTCCCATCAGCCTTTCAATTTTTTAAAATGACAATTAAGATTATCAAGCGAAAGAAATGATTTGTGATATTATAGCAGACCTGCCTAATTTATGCCTATCAAGCTTAATAAAGTTGTAGCTATTAAAATGCACTTCAAATCAAACTGATTCCCAAGCCCGCATGGGAACATCTTTTTTTGCAATAATACAAAGTGGATTGCCCTCACCTTCTGAAATGTTTCTTTGAGTTCTCATCTACTCTACCACCCTGTATTCCCTGACGGATTCTCAATGAAATACTAAACCAATATTGTTCATTTTCCAAGCTAACATCCATCTCCACAAAAGTCTTTATTCTTTATATCTTGAAACCATGAACCACTGTATAAGACTGACAGACTGTATTTTGCTTCTTAATTTACAAATTGGCAGGCCTGTGGATTGATCTGTCTCTCAGGTGGTTGCTTCTACCTGGCCTTAAAATAATTAAAAATGCTAAGCAGTATCAGATCTGGGTGATACTTGAATGGGTGCCACTAGGAAAAAGGCGGCTATAGGCTAGTTTTGAGTTAAAACAACGTCCTAAAAGAAAGCAGTGACATATGTTTTCAGTAGTGTTGTCAAAAACAAAGTAATATGGGTGTTTCAATGTATTTAGTAGTGTGAGTCCAACCAAAACAGATTTAATTTTATACTGTAGTTATACACATAATGTAGGTTATAATGTAGTTATACATATAACTACATTTTTGATCATCTGTCCAGTGCTTGGTTAATTTTGAATAGAGAGCCTTCTGTTCAAAAATCACAGTACTCAACTGGAAGATTCAATTTTAAATCAATGTTATATTTTATCTTAGATGGCTCTATAGAATTTTTTAAAGAAGGAAATAGCAAAGAAAAAAAATATTCCAGTAGAAATAAGAGACATTCATATAACTACAAACATAAATCACTTGTGATGATTAAAAATCACTGAGCAGGTTTATATTTTATATATGTGGTCACAGGTACTATCCTTTCCTTTTAAATTACTTAACTGCCTCAGCTGCCCTCTGCATAAAAAGATGGAACATAGCCAGTGGTGGGATTCAAATAATTTAATAACCGGTTCTCTGCTCTAATGATCAGCTAGGTATGTGTGGCTGGATGGTAATGTGGCTGGGTGGGCATGGCCAACTTAACATCACTCAAGGGGTGCCTTGCCTTGCCCTGACTCTCCTCACCAGGCCTGGCCCAACCCACCCCTCCCATCCCAGCCATTCCTTGTCATTCCTGGCCGCTCATCTCGCTGGAGCGAGTAGTTTTCAAATAAAAGGAATGCTCGCCTTGTGCAAATAAATAACATCTTGACTTCAGGTTTGATGAATCTTGTAAAGTATTATTGTTCATTCTAATCTCCTTTCCTACTAACAGGTCCACCTCAGATTGTAATTTGCTACAACCTCTCTTGTCTTTTGCATCATTCTATGGGAAATCATTCTGGAATGTTATCTGTGGTGTTTGCAGTTTTACAAGTTTGTTTCCTCCAGCCCTGTTTTCACATGCAATTCTTACAAGTTATTTTGATATTCCTTCCTCCTTTATAAACAAAGTAGTGGTTAAGATGCTAGCCTAAACACCAAGAGACTCTGAGATTTAGTTCCATTTTAGGCTTGAAAAAATGGCTGAGTGACCAGTCACTCTCTCCCAGCCCAAACCACTTCTTAGATTGTGGTTGTGGAGAAACTAAGAGGAGGAAGGAATATTACATAAGTTCTCCACCTTGAGTTCCTTATAAAGTAATAAAGACAGGATAAACATCTAACAAAATAAATAAATCATTTGTGAGAATGATGTCCTTCTAAAGGAAAAGGTGTGCCAACTGCCTTGTCACATGCCTTACACTATTGCATTTATTGCATTTTTATCCGTTTTATTTTTTTTTCTACTTTTTTTTCTTCATTGATGGCACAGCCTGTGAAATTCTTACTGTCTCACATGCAAGGTTATATGGGAAACATCAGGTAAATACATCCATGTAACTGACAGGCAATGGTAGCAGAAATCACTAAGCAGCTACATTAAGACAGAAAGGTAGAAGCACCAGGGTGCAAAAAGCAGAGGATCTCGGAGAAGAGAGCTAAGACATCCTGAGACAATAAAAGACAATCAAAATACCTCAGGTAAATAAAATGGTTGCTGCTATTGGATGGATGAAATGTTAAAAATATTTCTCTGTGATACTTAAATTTCAGACATTTTTATGCAATTGATCAATTTAATATTATTTCCTTCACTGATAGCGAAAATTTTCTGTTTGTTTTGTTGATTTTATATTTTTTAAAAATCTGTGCTGTATATCAAATTCCAGTGAGCTCACACTCCATGTAAAGTAAATCCAGCACATTGACTTTTCTTTTATTGTGGCTTATCTCACATATACAAGAATTGGTATATGATGCCAAGCTTTAAATATTTTTAAAAATGGCAGTAGATAATGCAAAATAATTTTAAGGCAAGAGCAGGATATTTGATGCTTGGAAATGCAACTTTGATTTTTTTATTAAATAGTTAGACTGCTATTAGATATTACCAGTTAATCAAAATCAATTTATCTGACCAGTCTTTCGGGCTTTGTCTACATTTTAGGTGACATGGATTTTTGGCTGAAATTCTCAAATTTCCTACACTATAAATTCTAGACGTTTTTATAGAATAATAATAATTGGAAGGGACTTCAGAAGTCTTCTAGTCCAAGCCCCTGCTCAAATAGGAGATCTGTACTATTTCAGACAAATCGTTGTCCAGTCTCTTTTTGAAAGTCTCCAATGATTGAGCACCTACAACTTCTGAAGGCAAGCTATTCCATTGATTGATTTGCTTTCACCCTTAGAAAATTTCTCTTTAGTTTTCGGTTGCTTCTCTCCTTGGTTAGTTTTCAACCAGCTTCTTGTCTTGCCTTTTGGTGCTTCGGAAAATAGTTTGACCCTTTCATCTTTGTAGGAGCCCCTTAAATATTGGAACAGTGCTATCATGTCAGCCCTAGTTCTTTTTTATTAGACTAGACCAGGGGCGTCAAATGCAAGGTTGACACCGTTGGACTAGACATACCCAATTCCTGTAACTGTTCTTTGGACGTTTTAGCCTCCAGCCCCCTAATCATTTTTATTGCTCTTCTCTACACCTTTTCCAGTGTCTTAAACATGGCTTGCTACATTTCTGCCACTTTTTTTTTCTTGTGGTGGAAAAATAGATAGGGCAGAGATTATAGGAAGCTATAATTTATTAATAGTCATTTGGAAGCCAAATCCTGGTTTGACCTTGCTATGAATGGATGTTTTAAATTTAGAAAACTGTGTGGTATGCATAGAATACTAAAAGTGTATGGAATTCATTCTAGTCATGCTTTCAAATATAAACAAAAACATCAACCTGTGCTTTTTTTCAGGAAATAGTAATTCCATGTAACTCTACTAACCCTGGGAATGATTTTCTAATGATGACAATATATACAAATCTCATCCTTTCTTTCTGCTCTCTATTGTCACAAATTACCTTAAGCTTTTTCCTTGTTTATCTTTCTAGAATAAATATTTTTGTAGTTCTGGTCAACACCAACATATCAGGATTAAATCAGGATCAAACCTTCAGACCAAATCTTGTAAATCTCTAAATATTGTAAGCTGCTTAGA